GGACCTGGTGTCACCTAGGTCTCCGTGACTGCTTCCCCTTTCACAGCATATCTGTGCTTTAAGTCTGTGTTTTATGATGGTAGAAGGGGGAGAAGCTTAATTACAGAATGTTTGAGAATCTGAGAATATGGGAGAGGTATTTTCTAAGAGTTTTGTGGGTTGCTTAAGGTCTCTTTGCAGAACAGAAAGAAAAAATACTAGAAGCTATGAGGTAAAAAGAGGGAGCTGACCCAGGAGGCTCTGAGGATGTTAAGAAACAGGGAAACCCAGTGAAAAGACCAAAGAATTAATATCTAAAATGTGTTTATCACTGTCCCATCCATTCAGTATTTCAGGGCCTCAGGCAGGACAGATGGTGTTAGTCCTGTTGGGCGAGGAAGAAACAGGCACAGAAAGATTCTGTGATTTTCTACTAGCACACAAGTCTGGACAGAAGTGGCACTAAAATACAAGTAGAGACTCCTAAGCCTTGTGCTCCCAATGGCACTCTGTAAGTGCATAGGACTAGAAGATTTTGAAAGGGAAAGTGAAGGCAGCCATCTTTGAAAGGAAAGATGGGGCCTTGTGTTCTCACACACAAATTTCTTTCTAATATGACTTGGCAAGAACAAAGTGTTGAGAGTGGTATATGCTCTCAACTGTAGGGCAGATCCCTTGCTCTTCTTTGCATGACTCATTCACCATGTGCTTACAAAAAATTCCTCCTGAGTTCTGGAAATTATATTTACCCCATAATCTGTGGTCTACAGGCAGGAGTTATTCGCTTATGGGAATGAGCCCTGAGCACCTTTCTTAATGGAAGCTATGGGGATGATTTCCCACCAGAGGAGGAGCAAGTTGGCTGGTCCAGGGTGGCTTTAGACTAGATGCAGTTGATGTTGGAACCTGAACCCTGGAGCCTGGGCCTGTTGTTCCTAATTATCCTTCCTAGCAGGTTCAACTTCTCAAAATCCCTCTTATACTGAGACTCCTATCTTCTACACACTCCCTTATTTCCTCCCAAGACTTGGAAGTTGGAAAGCAAAGAGAATTAGAGGAGAAGCTGTTGCTTGAGAAACTGAGTTTCTGATGTTTGGTAAAATCACTCCCTCTTCCCAGTAAGCCAGGACTCCTTGACATGGTGTCCCTGTTTCTTTTCCCTCCACTAGCCACTTTTAGGCTTCTCATGTTTTATTTTCTGGAGAGGTATAATAAAAAGGTATCTTTCTGCTATTTTATCACCATTGTACATTTAGTTACCATTTTTTTTGAGAATCTGCTATGACATGTCAAGAACTATATTAAGTATGTATAGTAAGTATATATTTATCAAAAACTGTGAAGAGTTGAGATTTTGCCCTACATCCAAGCTAATTTCCTGAATTCCAATAGAAGACACAAAGTTCCTGAGTCAGAAACAAAGAACAGTTCACAACAACACCAGTAACCAAAACTTCATTTGTTTGTTTTCCAAATTCCAATTTCCAAGAGGAGATGTAAGAAGCACAAGTGAAGCCTATTCACATGGTGGCTTGTATTACAGAAGAGAAGCTCCAAGCTTAAGGAACCCGAATCTTTTATAATGGGCAGTAAGTGTACCCAACCTCTGCCCCAGAAAGAAACATTGCTACACCAGACAGCAAACAAATGGGCTCTCTGCTCTGGACAGAGACACTACCTCTACTTTCCATGATTTTCTTTGTATAAAGCATCCTTGAAAAGACAGTCTGGAATAAAAGCTCTATTTTTTTTGTGAGATTTAGCTCATAAGACCTACAGATATACAAGAGACCACAGAGAATCATCTCCTAACACTGTTTTCCCCACATCAGTGGAAATAGGCATTGTTTTGCCATTTTTTTAGATTAGAAAAATGAGGCTCAGAAAGCTAATGTGTCTAGGATTCTACAATTTAGGAGGCAAGGTTTAGGTGAGTCTAGAACCTGGGCTGCATACTTAAGGACCTAGAGCTGATGACTGTAAGGCATTCAGTGTCACAGGACACAGCCTTGTCTCTGAAAAATTTACAACTGGGGAATTGAAACATGCCTTCCACATTTCTGAGATGTGTGGTGAACCAGGGTGGGAGCCTGAACTAACCTCTAACAAAGACTATCCAGCAGAATAGGCCTCCTCCAATAATATTTCTCTCTCACACATGAACAAATTTCTAGCAGATAGAATTTCCTATAAATTGTTCTCCCTTTGCTTGCTTGCTAGAAATCAACAAAATAGAGTCAATCCTCTGTATCTGTGGGTTCCAAATATGAGAATTCAATCAACTGCGGATTGAAAATACTTGAAAAAAATGTGTTTATACTGGAAATGTACTATCTTCTTGTTATTATTCCCTAAACAACACAGCTACTATTTGTGTACTGTTTACACTATATTAGGTATTATATGTAATCTAGAGATGATTTAAAGTATATGGGAGGATGTGCTTAGATTCTATGCAAATACTTTGCTCTTTATATAATGGACTAAGGGACTTGAGCATTTGGGGATTTTGGTACCTGTTGGGAGTCCTGGAACCAATCCCCCAATGGATATCCAGGGACAAATGTAAAGGAATGCATAAATCAAATGTTAAGAGAAAGCAGTTGTCTTTTTTTTTTTTTTTTTTTTTTTTTTGGTGGTGGTGCTGGGGATGGAACCCAAGGCCTTGTGCATGATAAGGCAAGTTTTCTACCACTGAGCTAAGCTACACTCCCACTCCCCAGTTCTTCTTTTTTTTTTTTTTTTCAGAGACATGTTTGCTCCTGGCTGTGATTTTTTTTAAGGTACTGGAAATTGAATCCAGGGATGCTCTATCACTGAACTATATCCTCAGTCACTTTTTATTTTGAAATAGCGTCTCGCTAAATTGCACACGCTGGCCTCAAATTTGCAATCCTTCTACCTTAGCCTCCCAATCACTGGGATTGCAGGTGTTCAACAGTGTGCTCAGCTGGCTATGCTTTTAAAATTATGACTTAGAATATACTTGAATTTTGGGTTAGTGTAATCATTCCAGGTTGCTGTAATTAAATATTCCTTATTTCGTGTCTTTCCACAAAAAGCAGCCTGATTATAGGGATTCCTTTGTCTCATCCAGCCACAGAATCTCTCATGGGAGCTCAAGTTAGAATGTGACTTGTCACATTTGGGGGTTTGAGAAACAAGAAGTGAATCTGTTTGGCTGAGGCAGAGCAGCTGTGGAGACGGGAAGAGGATGACTAGACAGACAGGTATGAAATGGGGAACAGGCCCCAGGAGGCCTTAAATGCCAGGGAAGATTGTATTCTGAGCAAACAGACAACCAATGAACAATGGGGGCTGGGAATGACTTGATAAAAGCAATGTATTAGGAAGCTGCTCTTAACACAACAGCAGCCATGATGGGAATGGATTCCAGTGAAGAGTGCCTAGATACTGTGCTTCTCCATCCTCATTGCATGTTATAATCTCCCAGAAAGCTTTTAAATAATTCTGATGCCCCTGCTCTACTCCAGGCCAATCACATTGATATCTCTGGGAGTGGCGGTCTTTTCCAAAGCCCTCCAGATAAATGATTGTTAATGTGTATGGGGTTCTTTTTGGGCTGAAGAAAATATTCTGGAATTAGATGATAGCAATGGTTGAGGAACTTTGTGAAAAACTGCTCAGTTGTACACTTTAAAAGGGTGAATTTTATGCTATGTAAATTATATCTCAAAGAAGGGGTGGGGGAGAGAAGGGTCACCTGTGAGGAACAGTATAGAGGAAAACTGGCCAGCAATCTACCATTTAATATCTGATTGGTTATGAATGAAGAGGAAAAGAAAAAAAGGAAGGTAAAGATTTAAGTCAATGTTTTGAGCCTCAGTAACTGGAGAAATGCAGATTTGGTAGGGGAAGGGGAAAACAGCTAGAGGTGTTGGCTACTAGCTACTGCAAAGAATTTCAGATGTTCAGCAGGCAACTGCATGTTGAAATAAAAGCTATACACAGTGACCATGAGATGGGAAGCAGGATATACAGCAACAATGAAGACCAGATGGTTCCTTAGAGACCATTTCTTATCCTGTTTGCCACTTACAGCAGTGTAAGTTCCAACAAGCTACTTCACCTCTCTGAACCTGTTTTCATATCTGTGAAATGTGGTTAATAATACCTGCCCTGCTTATCTCATAAAGTTGTTGTATGAATGAAATGAACACTAAAAGCTTGGAAAACTAGCCAGGCATGGTAGTGCACATGTATAATCCCAGTGGCTCAGAAGGCTGAGGCAGGAGGATCTCGAGTTCAAAGCCAGCCTCAGCAATTTACTGAGGCCCTCAGCAACTTAGTGAAACCCTGTCTCAGACTTTAAAAAATATATAATGGGTTGAGTATGTGACTCAGTGGTTAAGCACCCCTGGGTTCAATCTCTGGTACAGAAAAAAAAACAGAGTTTGGAAAACAATAAAGTGTAACAGAATTGTAAGGTATAGGACATACACAGTCACATGATTTTCAATAAAGACACAAAAATAGTTCAATATGGGGGAGTCTTGTCACTAAATGGGGATGGAAAAACTGGATATACATATGAAACAAATATTAATCTTGACCATCTATCCCATACCATGTAAACATAAAATGTGGGTTCTTTCACATGTCACTACTTGTGGAAACATTAAATGTTCTTTACTGAGTAAAACTGTTTACCATTGAGTCCAGCGCAGTGGCACACACCTGAAATCCCAGCAGCTAGAGAGGCTGAGGCAGGAGGATTGCAAGTTCAAAGCCAGCCTCAGTAATGACGAGGTGCTAAGCAACTCAGTGAGACCCTGTCTTTAAATAAAATACAAAATAGGGCTGGGGATGTGGCTCAGTGGTTGAGTGCCCCTGAGTTCAATCCCTAGTACCAAAAAAAAAAATGTTGAATGGTGTTAATGCTATGAATTGGTTTTGCTGAGCTAAGGCAACTGTAAATCTTTGGCTCTATAAATCTCTGCAATTACTATCATTGTCTTACATTGTCAACAAGGGATATTAAGTATTTCTTTATCTCTTTATGGTGATGCTGGGAATATGAACTCAGGGCCTCATGCATGCTAGGCAAGCACTCTACCACTGAGCTACACCCCCAGCCCCTAAAGATTGATTTCTTTACCTAATTTGTCAGGCTGACCAAGTACGAACGAAACAGCTGATTAAAAAATTAGCTTTAAAAAAAATCAAGCAGATAAGATTAGCTCCCTGTATCTCAGTTAGATGGGGAGAGGAGAAACTTCTCTATGGCTGGAGATTTAAAGTAAGTTAACACTAACTCTAGGTCAAAATCCTGACTGAACAAAAAAATAAAAATCCATTGGTGATTTGGCTCCAGGTGACACGTTTTGGAGGCCAGCTTTGGAGGTGCACTCACATGTTGAGGTGGAAGGCAGCCTTTGGCTCCTGTCAGGAGTGTAGCTCTTCACAGGAACAGAAGTAAAGGCCTCTCCTATATAAGTTGCACTCTTTAAGATGGCAACCAGGCCTCTAGATGGGCGTCCAAAATGGCACCCTAAAGTTGGGAAATCCTTCACATGCCAGGCATTGAGGAGGATGGATCGTCTGAGGCATAGCTTTTGCCATTCTCCTCTCCTTTCCTGAGGATTCCTCTCTGAGAGGGCCAGGCAGGAGATGGGGCTGGAAGAGGCAGGAAAACTCAATAAGCAACTTATTAGAATATATCAGTGAGGGGCTGGGGCTGTAGCTCCGTGGTTGAGCGCTTGCCTCGCATGTATGAGGAACTGGGTTCGATCCTCAGCATCACATAAAATAAATAAATAAAACATATATATAAAGAATATAAAAGTGAAAGGGAATTGCTAATATGAAAATATTAGCAATGGAAAATATGAAACAGGAATGAGGTAAGGGTTTCACTGTTGCTCTCCTATTCCTACTCAGCTCTGGCAATTGAGAGTTAATCTCACAACATTTTGTCTGTATTTTCTGTATTAGTTTCCTGGGGCTGCCATAACAAAGTACCACAAACACAGTGACTTAAAATAACAGAAATTGATTGTCGCAGAGTTCTGAGGGAGAAATCTGAAACTGAGGTGTTGGCAGGGCCAAGCTCTCTCTGGAACTTTCATGACTCCTTCCTGGCCTTTTCCTGAACTCTGATGCTTTGCTGGCAATCTTTGGTGTTCCTTGACTTGCATTTCTCTGCCTTTGTAGTCACAAGGACTTCTTCCTGTGTGTCTGTCTTCATATGGCCATCTTCTTATAAAGACACTGAGTCAAATTGGATTAGGGATCTACTCTACTCCAGTATGACCTCATCATCCTCAACTTAATTATATCTGCAAAAATCCTGTTTCCAAAAAAAGTTACATTCTGCAGTATTGGGGGTTAGGACTGCCAAGATTTAAATTTTTATTTATTTATTTTTTGTACCAAGGATTGACCCAGGGACACTTAACCACTAAGCCACATCCTCAGCCCTTTTTATATTTTATTTAGAGACAGGGTCTCACTAAGTTGATTAGTGCTTCACTAAGTTGCTGAGGCTGGCTTTGGACTTGAGATCCTCCTGCCTCAGCCTCCCAAGCCATTGGGATTATAGGCATGTGCCACAGTGCCTGGCAAATTCATATAAAATTTAATCTTGGAGTACATTTTATAAGCAGAAGACTAAATTTTTTCATCAGTGAAAAGTCTAAATAAATAGCCTTCCTCTCATAACATCTCTTTTTTAGTGATGGCAGCTAAATGTGCTAAGTAATCTACACAAGCTATTTCATGTTGAATTGGATTTTGTGGACATAAAACAATGTCAGGATTCTATGGATGGCTTTAGGAAGTCCTCAGATGTTAAGTGAAATAAATGGTTAGATTGTGACATTGTTGATATGGTCAAATCAAAAGATGATTTGACAGCAGACTATACTACTTATTGCTTTATTTTCTATTTTACTAATATACTATCTTCAATTTTTATGTCACATTCTAATCTGCATTCTACTATACTCTCTGACACTAACCTGAATGGAATAAGCCAATTTTATTTGAATTATTATTGTTATAATTTTTTAATTTTTTGCAATGCTGGGGATTAAACCAAGGGCTTCACACATGCTAGGCAAACCTCTACCACTGAGCTACACCTCTAGCCCCTGCATTATTTCCATAAAAACTTAATCTTGACAGGCCAGGAGTGTTGTTCAGTGGTGGAATACTTGCCTGACGTATGTGACACCCTGGGTTCAATACTCAGCACTTCAGGGGTGGGGGAAAACTTAATTTTTGAACCTTACAGTTGATGATTTCTTGGTTTTGATTTTAATTTCTCCTTTCAGGTAGGGAAATGTATTTTTTGAATTTTTATGTGAAATTTCTGGCAATGAATTGATATTCTTTGGTAGTGTGATAGGTGGAATTGGATACCCACACACTCACCAAATACATCAGCAAAAAGATATATTGAGCCAGGTGTGGTGGTGCAAGCCTGTAAATCCAGAGGCTCAGGAGGCTGAGGCAGGAGGATGATGAGTTCAAAGTCACTTCGGCCAAAAAAAAAAAAATTCTATATGAACTTGGAAACTGAGTAAAATAAGACTGGATCTCATATCAAACACTATGGACATAATTGAATTTTTGTAAATCTACTCATAATATAAAGCAAGAGTTGTCAAGTTTTTTGTTTTTTTTTTTTTAAAGGACTGGGAATGGAGCTTAGTGGTGGAGAACTTGCCTAGCATATATATAATATATAAATAAATGTGCATTATGGCTATGTTCTAATAAAACTTTATTTACAAAACCAGAGAGCAAGCCAGATTTGGTCCACAGGCTATAATCTAGTTTAAATATCCCAGAAGACAGCTTGTTATATAAACTTAACTAATAGGAAGTCCTCCATATCATTAAAAATTCCTTTCAAAATGTATTTCCCATGTTCCCACCCCTGCACACTTTCTTTTTCTTTTGCTCTTTTCTTTCCTTTTTTTTTTTTTTTTTTGTAAATTGAATTTAAGATATTGGATTTGCTGCAAACCTACACTGAATGTCATTTCAACTGGAAGGAATCTTGTGTAGTGATTTTGCTTAGCCTCCTAACATGAAATAAACCTGTGTCTAAATTACCTTGGAAAGATGAGAATTTGATGATCCACTAAGAGCTATGAGAAAGATTGATCCAAAATTGCCTTAATAGTCCATGCTGTCCTCCAAATAAAAATGTTTTTTTATGTTTTATACTCACCTCAATCTCTTGCTGCTATTTAAACCTATTTCTTCTTGACTTATGTTCTCTAGAGAGAGTGAACATCCAGTATGTCACTTCCTTCAATATTACTCACCTCTGGATGACAGTTCATTCACGAAGTTGACTAGAGATAATCAAGGATCACCTGGCTATAGGTAGCATGTCCCCTTGAACAGCCTGCTAAAGTCATAAGTATTTTCATAGAGGCAGTGATGTCCTTTTAAAAAATATTTAAACAACAATTCAATGTCCATAATAAAAAGGATTCTACAATCAAGATGAAAAATATAAGTAAACCAAAAGTTAATGATAGATGAGCTCAGATAGTGTACATAAGAAAGAAAAAATGTTAATAAATACAAAAATGCTCAAACTCACTAATAATGAAAATGCACAATTAAAATAATTGTCTCTTTTCTTTAACTCAGTCCTAAATTATTTATGATAATACCAGGGCATTATCATGCATGAAATCCTGCTAAGTGAGAATGTTAGAGTATAGAACAATACATAGAGTTTATGTATAAACATTGACACTTTTATGTATAAACACAGAAATTATGCACACTGGAAAACATGGAAGAAGACGAACAATTGTCAAGAGAGGTCATCTTTGTGGGTTGAGATTATGAGACAGCTCACTTTCTTTTCTTTTTCTTTTTTTTTTTTTTTTGGTACCATGAATTGAATCCAGAGGTGCTTAACCACTGAGCCACAGAGCCACAACCCCAGCCCTTTTTTACCTTTTATTTTGAGACAAGGTCTTGCTAAGTTGCTTAGGGCCTCACTAAATTTCTGAGGCTGGCTTTAAACTTGTGATACTCCTGGAGGTGGTGATGTCTTGATACAGTAATTCCTTAATAGTTTTTTTTTTGGGGGGGTAGTACTTGGAATTGAACCCAGAGCCTTAAACATGCTAAGCAAGCATTCTACCACTGAGTTACATCCTCAGCCCTTTTTAATTTTATTTTGATACAAGGTCTCATTACACTGTCAAGGCTGGCCTTGAACTTGAGATCCTCCCATCTAAACCCCCAGAGTATCTAGGATTACAGACATGTGCCACCACACCTATGTAAATAAATAGATACCTCTATCCAGCCTTTATTTTGATATTCTTCCATCTTTGTAGCACTCCAAGCAGGTAAGGTATTAAAGAAATAGAAAAAACGAGAGAAAGATCAAATGGTCATTGTACTGGCTACAATGTGGTTTTAGAACATCTATTATTTATTCATTTAACACAATTGGCTTCTGTAAACTCATGTGGGGAGCCTATAATTATTCTCTGAAAGAGAACTAGCAAAATCCACCTAGAAAATGTAAGAGATGACTTGCCAGAAGAATTTGACAGATGTATCACAGATGGGCTTCCTGAGCCTGGCAGAGGTAAATTTACTCTGGAGCTCTTCTATGGTGTCCTTACTTCCAAGGCTCTGAACAGAGTCCTACTACGTATTCACATAGTCAGATGTTTCTCTAAACTTGGCAAAAGGATGCTGGGTGTGATGGCGCATGTTTGTGATCCCAGCTAATTTGGAGAATGAGACAGGAGGATCCCAAATTTGAGGCCAACCTAGGCAACTTAAAACAAAAAATAAAAAGGGCCACAGATATAACTCAATGTTAGAATGCCCCTGGGTTCAGTGCCCAGTGTGAATAAATAAATAAATAAGAAAATTAAAATTAGATTTGCAAAAGGCAGATAGTATCATGCCAGTCAATTAATACCACTGTCTCTTTCTGTTCCAACTTACTCTTTATCGTGTTTTCCCTCCTGTAGGGCGAGGGTTGAGGGATTGTGGACATTCTAAATAAATATTCTCCTTAAATTGGTTTGCTTCTAAATAAATATTCACATTCACATCTAATTTTAAATTTTCTTTTTAAT